GGAATCCTAGGGATAAGATTCCTCCAAGACCCTTTCATCCATTGCTCTGCTCAGATCCTGCAGACTCAGGCTCATGGCCTCTCTGATAGAGTCTATGCATCTGACATTTGGTTTTCCTCCCTTTCTGCTGCCCTCTACCTTTCCCAGCATCATTGTCTTTTCCAGTAATTCATGCCTTGTCATGATGTGGTCCAAATAGGAAAGCCTCAATTTAAACATCTTGGCTTCAGGGAGAGTTTGGGCTTGATCTGTCTATTTGTCTTCTTGCCTGACCACAGTATCTTCAGTTCTCTTCTCCAGTACCACATCTCTGATGAGTTTATTTTCTTTATATCGGCTTTCTTCATTGTTCAGCTCTCAAATCCATACATGATGATGGAGAATATGATTGGACAACCTTCAATTTAGTGTTCAGATTTATGTCTTTACACTTTAGGATCTTGTCCAGCCCTTCTCAATCCTAGACCTCTAATTTCTTCAATGCAGTCTCTGTTCCAATTAATATTTGATTCAAAGTATAGGAACTCTGACTATCTCATTTTTTTTCATTATCTAGGATGAATTCTTGTAGATCTTGTATGGTCATTATTTTTATTTTCTTGATGTTCAACTTTAAGCCTACCTCAGTACTTTCCTCCTTGAATTTACTTCAATTTTCTTAACATTGCAAATCTCAAGATTCCATGGCAGCTAAAATAGTATTAGGCTATTGTAACTGTGTAATTTACACACATTCTACCTTTTCTCTGACAAAGGGGAGAAATTAATTCTCCCATTTTCAAAACATGTAATTGGTAGGCTTAGCAGGGACAGAATTTATCTGTCTTTTTGGCTTCTTTCCATTATTTCATTTTATTTGCTGAATATAGGTGTACACATTCCCTTCCCCCCCTTATCTAAAATACTGTTTCAACAATGTTGTTTTATTTACATTTATACCTCCTTATTAATGTATAAAGGTGATAATATAGATTCTTATATTGTTCATAGAGGTAGGATGAAGGTACATGAAATAATTTTTATTTTTATTTTCTACCAATTTAAACTGAAGGAAATAATAAAACATGGCTTTGTTAAATTAAAGTGTTCTTATTGCATTGCCTGATGATTCTCGAAAACCAAGAGAAAATTAGGATAAATTTACATGCATATTCAAATAAAACTGAAATACACTTGTTACTAGTAAATCTTCCATATTGCATATAATTGGCTACTTAAATGAAAATGAAGACTTTAAATTAACTTGTTCAAGATAATTGGGTTTTTGGTAGAATGCTAGTAGAATTAGCTAATTATCAGCTAATTATGGGGAAAACAAAATAGGACATAACTAACATTCTATATCTTAAAAAATGAATTAATAATTCATTTTGTTTTTATGCCAGCAAAAATGAAAGTTTTTGAAGTCATAAGTTGTCATTCAATTACACTTCAATAAACTTGAGGATTATTATAGTGTAATGCTTAAAGATCATGCTTTCTTATCATTTCAAAGCACAATATATTAGACAAATCACTGTTATAAAAGTAGTAAGTAGATGTTAGTTGCAAAACATGGACATTTGATTGCAAAACATGTAAATGGCCATGTTTTAATTTAATACTAAAACTAAAAAAAACCCCAATTTTGACATTGCCATCCATTTAATAACGTTTACATGGTTGCATATTTAATATTAAGTCTACTGCAGTAATAAAAACATATGGGGCATAATCCACAGCAAGACAGAGGCACATAGAGATTAAAAAAGACTTCATATGGATGACCTTAGAACATAACTCATCATTATTAAAACTTTAAAGAAGCTGTTTCAGGGTAGGGAGAATGGGCTGATAACTTTATCTCCCTCTTCATATTATTTTCACAATATAAATCATGTCCCAAAGCCAGATGCATTAGAGTAACCAAAATCATGATAGAATTCATGGTTTTTTCCTAGGTAAAAAAAGTACAGGATTTTGTCATCTTGCTCATTCTGCGACAATGTTGTTGTAGCTGGAAATTCAGAGTTCAGTATAAAGCTGTTACAATTTTTCAGATGCACTGGTTACTTGCATTTACCTGATACAGATGATAGGTAGATGATAGATACAGTGGCATCACTGGTGTTGGCATCATCTGGTGCAGTAACTCATTGTATCACGCACACACCCCACTGACCTCCTCCCATACCATGCCATATAGAAGCCTTAGTAATGTTTTTTGTATAATTCTTTCTCATAAATTATAATTCCTGTCTATCATTGAACGTAATGGTAATAACTGACATATAACCAACTAGCAAAATTAAAATTATACTTTTAGCATATGCACAGGCTAAATTTATTTAAAAAGCAATGATTTGGGAAGATGTGATTTTTTAAAAGAAAATTTAAAAAAATAAAAATAGAAAAATATATTTGTGAATAATATTTTTAAATTAAAATGTAAATTTATTTTTTTAAAAAAACTGGGCCTCTCCTTTCTCCTACCACTGAGCCTCGCCCTATTTGCACCATCTCTTTAGTGTTTTAAAGGGACACGGGTGAACACTACAGCCTATTTCTACCAAAGGCAGATGTTTGGCAGCAGTGGTTCACCCTCCTCTTAGACTGTAATCTGGTATGGTCTGCATCTGTCACACCCCCTAGTGAAAAAGAGAGATAGAGAGATAGCAATAGCAATAGCAAGTACATTTCTATACCACTCATTGGTGAACTAGCACTACTTAAGCAGTTTGCAATATGTAAGCCAATTGCCTCCAATAAGCTGAGTACTCATTTTGCTGACCTACAAAAGGATGGATGGTTGAGTGGACCTTGGAGTACTCCTGTAGGATCAAACTTACAATGTTGTGGCTGCAGTACTGACATTTAACCATTGCTCCACAAGGGCTCCTTGTGTTATTTGAATTGTGTTGTATTTTCTGAGAATTCCCACTGAGAATTTCCATGTCTTGTATGATATAAAAATGATAATTGTTCACACAAAAGAGTGTCTGTGTGTACTGAATCAAATCTGCTCCAGCCAAACATTTAGGCCGAGAAAATACAAGGTGGAGTAAAGGTAAAGTAAAACTAGATAATTTAAAATAGACACTTTTTTGTATAGTGAAGTTTTTCCTGACCCACAATGAACTCTATGAACAATGAACAATTGTAGAAATTTAAAGTTCTCTGAATGGGACCAGCCTAATGACAACCAAGGTATTCTACTTTGCCATATCATGTTGTTGTTTTTTTTTTGGGGGGGGACACAAAATACCTTGGACATATTTTTGTTCCAATAAGATTCATTGTATTGATCCTAGTATGAAGGCAACATGGTATAGTCATTTAAGTGTTGGACTAGAACGCCAAAAGACCAGGTTTTTAATCTCTGCTCCACTATAGAAACCCAGTGGGTAACCCTGTATGAGTCCTACTATGCAGCCTCAGAGGAAGGCAATGGCAGTCAACAAATAAATATTGCCAAGAAAACTCTGTGATAAAGTCACCATAAATTGGAATTCATAGAATCATAGAGTTGGAAGAGACCACAAGGGCCATCCAGTCCAACCCCCTGCCATGCAGGAACTCCTAATCAAAGCATCCCCAACAGATGGCCATCCAGCCTCTGCTTAATTGACTTGAAGGCATTCAGCAGCAGCAGCAACAACAACAACAGCAAAACCTTAATTCAATGTTTTTGTTTTTGTTTACAGTTTAAAAAAATCTACATGGGAAATTGGTGAAATATGGACACACTTTTTTCAACTGTGAAGTGATGTATATTGTAGATCTACTTCTGTGTGGATTGATTCCACAACAAAATGGGACTCTGGGGAATTGTGACTCTGGGGAAGTGACTCCCATTGAAATGAAAGAGAGTTTATATATATATAAAAAACCCTGCAATTGCACAGTGATGAAATTATGCAAATAGAACATTAGGGACATCACTAGGCTTTTCTAAATGGGCTTGGCTTTTCATCCAAATGACATATGACTTTATTCCATGGTTTTATTTACCAATTAAAAATGATATCATCTGATGTTAATTGATTAATTGGATCAGGATAACTATGACATGGAGAATCTAACTCTTTTTTCTCCTATTGTGGCCTTGAAAAATATAATTTTTCTTGAAGCTAGTATTTGCTGATTTCCCCTCAAATCTTTATGCTTCAATCAAAAAATTTAAGGAGAAAAAAAATCCAAAATGAACCTTAAAATCCTTGATTGTTTTCAGCATATTTTTTTTCATTTCAGAAAACTCTGAATATCTCAGATAAACAGCAGTTTCTGCAGACGTACACCACTGTATTATTTGTGCATTTTCAGGTCTGTTACTAGCACTTCTCCTTGGAAGTGAACTTACTTGCATGACTTCAAGTTTCCCAGGAGCCTGAATATACTGATAATATAAACCACTCTGCTGTAATTTTCAGGAGAAGGGGTGATATTTTTTGGACAACATCATAAATCAAATATCTAGGCAGAAAGCCGAGACTGCCACTTACTCATGAAATGAACCATTAGGCAAATGCTGTTTTGCTTGATAAGTGAAAATTGTCATTCTTCTTCATTTTTCACTGTAGATTCCCATACAATATTATACCATTCTAAGTCCCCTCCAGGTGGGAAATTGCCAGATTTACCTATAGATCTGAAAGGCCATCCTCCTATGTAATATTTATATTTTTCCTTTACAGATGGAGGGGTATGTACACTAACTGAGATGAAAATCAAATGCCTACTTTACTACATGTACTTATGTATGGAAGTGACTTGATTTGAAAACAGCCAGAAAACTCTCGGCAGGCAAAAGCTGCACAACCCATTGTGAGCAAGGTCTAATGATCATCCTATTGGACAACTCCTCCTCTAGTACTAGAATCAATGATTTAGTCAGGGGTGCCCACATTGTTGATGTAGCCCAGGAAAGGAATTCAGGATTGGGCTCTGGCTGATCACTCAGAACTTGTCAGTTGTACTTCCCTGTCATTTCCCCACCTTATGTGAAACCATAGATTTAGTGAGCCAGCAGAGTGTAGTGGTTTGAGTGTTGGACTATGATCCTAAAGACCAGGGTTTGAATCCCTGTTCAGTCATGGAAACCCATTCAGATACCTTGGGTAAGTCATAGTTTGTTTCTTTGTATGTAATATCTTCACTTCTACACTATCAGGAGTGGGATGTGTGGAGAAGACAGAGTTGGGCCAGCCCTAGCAACAACTGGCATCAGCCAATCAAATTGAAGGCTGGAGAGGATAAATGGGGCTGTTGGTGACATGGAGAGTGATATAGGGACAGTTAGGGTCAGAGCCTGGGTGGGAGGGACTCAATACATGTCCAAAACTCTGAGTGGGAATTGCTGGAGTGCAATATCCTGAGGGATATAGTTAGCAAGGTGGCTAGTGTAAAAATAAGTGGGTCCTGGGTATAAGTAACTATTAATCTCTGGAGAGAGTGTTGTGAGGTTAACGGAACTGCAACTCAGGGGCTAAACAGACCGCCTCTTTGGAAGAGCATCCCAGCACCCCTTTCATCACCAGATCATGGCTGCAGCAACTGCATGCCTCTGCCCTGATCTGGCATTTTTTGCACCCAAAAAGGAGCAGCAAAATGCAGCTCCTTTTTAAAACAGGGAAAGTGAATGTTTGTTGCCATGGCAGCATTTTTTTCAGAGTTTTTGTGGTGCAGTGCATCTAAATGCCTTGCTGCAGAAACAGAGAAATGCCACCTGCCATACGGTTGCTCAGGTGGCATGACACTGGCATCAGGGTGGCATTTGGGCACATGGTGTGCAGTTGCCATGCCCCTACTCTGCCCCAGTGGTGGCACAAAGTGTTGGTCTGTACAGCCCCTAAGCAAAATCAAGAAAATAATACTTTAAAGTAATAAACTTTATTTTATTCACCATCTCAACAAGTGAAACATTATGTAAATCATTTTCCAAATAAAGTTTTATTATTGTTTCAAAGAAAAGCTTGTCTGGAACTTGAGTAACTAACCATGTTACTGATGATTAAAGACATATTTTGGGTTAAGTTCCCCAAGAATGGTACCATATGAAGTTAGTTTTGCACCTAAGCTGGTATTCACCAGGAAAATAAAGTGACAATCATGAATAGGTGGCAGTGTCACAAACTAAGTAAGAAAAATAGATTAAGAGGTCAGCACTGCTCTTCACAAATTGGTGGCAGCAGCGGGATGACAAAACCCACTGTCACAAGAGTAAACATAGGTGGGTCAGTGGGACTCATCTTGTCACATTTGGTGAGCAGCGTCAGGATATGAGAGATCCGGTGGCTGGAAGTGGGCTTGAGAAATTCAGTATGAGAGGATTCTTAGTTTGAGTTACCAGAAACCCAAAGATTTTGTTGGAACTTACAAATATATAGTTCAGTGGTTTAAAGTTGATAAAGCATAAGTGTCAGTGGGAGTAATCTCTGAGATAATCATCAAGGGTAATTTGTAGGAGATTACTTGGGAACTGACCATGCTGGAAAAGCGTAATAATAACAGTCCCTGAGATCATTTGTTGGGGTAAATGTAGGGGACTGAAGAGGAAAAAAGATAAAGAAACAGAGTGAGAATGGGTAAAGGTATTCCATCTGAAAAGTAACCAAGAAAGAGCACACTGAGGGGAAAATATCTTAGAATAGTGATTTCTGAAATAAATGTTTGGAGTAAAGTAAGAAATCACCAGTTTGCCATTAAAAA